ATACGGTAATAAACTTTTCGTAAATTATATGTTTAACAAAAAGTAAATGAAAAAAGGTTCAAATTTGTTTTATTTATACCTAAAGGTGAATGAAAAAAATGTTAAAGAATATCATGGTTGAAGATTTCATAATTCATGCATGAAAGGGTTAAAACAAGGTCACTTTTTTACTTAAATATATTTACATCTATTTTTAATTTCCCGTTATTAAGCTCAAGCACCAAATATGGTGTCAAGCCCTACTGAAGTCGTGATGTTTACTGCTATTCTATATTGATTCTACTATGTAGGGTTTGCAGATGTTTCACGGAACAAAAACAAAAACTAATTTAAAGAGTAAACATATTTCTCTTATTGTGCAAGTATTTGTTTGCAGCTCTGTGACACACTGAGATTTGTGTTTGTTTCTTGTCAAATACATCCCATTTATACGTCAACACAAAGATTTCTTTTTTCATTTTACTGCTGCTGATGGTAGCTGAGAAACAGATGTTAGCATTTTGCGTGTCAGCATGCATAATTAGCAGCATTTGCATATCCACTTTTTAACCCACATGAAGCTAGTTTCCACTTTATAAAATATCCATCTATAGGAAAATTCTTGGTGTATAATTGCCGGTTCTCTTGCTTAAATGCGGTCCTTTCATTTTAAATTAATCTTAGTATGTAAAAAAACAAAATTTATTTGAAGTTGGGATTTCATTTAGCTTCGTTTTTCTTTTTACTTTTTTGATGGTTTATTTCATTCATGTCCTTCCTATTTTGAAAATCATTTCATTGCCATTTTTAAAAATATGTGCAATGCTTCAATTAGACAGCGTCATGCCCTGCAGAGTCGCACCATGCAACACTCTGCATGCAGATCCACCAAATGCTAAGTACTGTCACAGCATATGATACCAATACCATTAGCCAGGTGGCTTTCATTACCCAAATTACAGCTATTGTTTATAATTAATTATTTGTAAATAGGAAAATTCTGAATATAATTGATAGCTTGAATTTCCCTCATCTCCTATTAATTAGCTTGATGGGATTTTTCAAGTTTTTTTTTAACCTCCCTCCCTCTCACTGGTTTAAGACACTGACGTGATGGGAATGCACAGGGAAATACAGCAGTTCAGCACTCAAACTTTAATTTTTCAGATTCACTCGTGAACATCCAGGCTTAATAGAGCCTAAAGCACTGACCAGACAGCCATACCAGCTCTGTGACAAAGTGAAAGTCCCTAATTGTTTTTAATTTAATCCACTGCTTCGCTATTTTGGGTGCCAGTGCATATTAATGTTCTGTCTTATGCTGTAAGGATGGGTAATTAGGATGAGAGTGAAATATTCTCAAACCACTGTTCTGTCACCCAACCTTCTGTTTCCTCATGTTTGGAAGTACATCCACTCTAGAATTTTTTTTCCCTAAATGTCAGTGTCAGGACACACTGCAGTGTCAGACTATTTGGGTATATATGATTAAATGCATTTGATAATTAAAAATTCCAAAATTAATATTGAAAAATATAATGCCTGGTGTTTATTTGAGATTCATTGGTGGACCACGGTATCTTTTCCTGTGTTGGTGGACTTGAATCAGTGAGTACTCTGGAGAAATGTTTCTTTTTTGCCTAAGAATAATATATATATATATATATATATATATATATATATATATATATATATATATATATATATATATATATATATATGAAGAAATTTGATGGACCTTTAGCTTTCCTGCAAAACAAAACAAAGCGTTCTTGCTACCTTAATTTTACAAATGCTCCCTTTACCAAAATTTTGATACCGATATAAACTGATACTGATATACGCGGTGTCCACGTTTCTTAAAAAAAGAAAAATTAAATTATTTCACATTACTAACACCGTAATATATCTACCGTCAAGCATGCTTAACTATTAAGCATCTTTTGTTATAAGTTCTAACAGGAAAACAGGATTACTCACAAGCGGTTGTTTTCCACTTGGTCCTAATGCTCAACCAGTGTCTACTTCATGTAGCACAGCGGTACTCAATAGGCAGCTTCTTTGTGACCCCCGAGCCGTGCGCACCCGATATTTTCAATTTTTACTATATCGACCATGGGCCGAAATTATTTTTAAGGGTCGATTAAACAAAGACAATAAATAAAAAATATCAGACACCTGTGTGGCCAACTGCCACCACTAGACTGAAGAAAGGACCTGAAGGACCACAACACACCATTTTAAAAAAAGTTTTGGTTTGTTTTATATTTGAAGTTCAATAAATATTAAGAGATTTATTGAGTTATTTAATTTACATTGCACACATTTAGTGTTCAGTTGTCTTTCACAATCAATGTGCTGCTAAAACATATTTATATCGGTCTTAATAATTGGCTTTAGGTATCGACCATCGGCAACGAAAATCTTGAAAAATCGGTATCGGCATCAGCCTTAAAAAGATATAGGTCGGCCTCTTATTTTAATAGTGTTTACAAATGGGTATAATAACACATGTGCACATGGAAATTATTACAAGAGGAGAACTTATTTAAAAGCACATAAAAAGAATGAGATAGACAGTAACTTAAAAAGTTTAAAAAATGCATTTGTTGCATGGGAGCCATTCTTCCCTGTGTGTGTGTGTGTGTGTGTGTGTGTGTGTGTGTGTGTGTGTGTGTGTGTGTGTGTGTGTGTGTGTGTGTGCATGTGCGCGCATTTAGGTAGGTGGGTGGTTAGTTTTTGTTCAAATAATAGTTTTCCACAATCAACATAATATGTAGCACATATCACAGCTCTGTGATTAATCGCTGCTCAGCTCTTGGTTCTTTGAACCCACATTGTGCTTTTCTTTCTTTAATGTCGGTGAAATCTGATTGACGTAAAGAGCGAAAACAAAAGTCCCCAAAGTTCTAGGTGTTTTTGGAACAGATATGTTTTCATGGATATTAAGAGCAGTTAATGTCCCTTTTAAAGTTAACAAGGTATAGATTTAGCAATTAAGCAGTAATCATGCTCATTAAAAGAGTAATCCATTTAAAACCTAACAGATGTTCGTTCTGACAGGGGAATCGTGACGGCCCCATGCCAACAATAAGGCAGTAATGTTGCTGAAACGCTCAGGTGCAAGGTTAAAGAGTGGAAGAATTATTTTTTATCTCTATTTTGTGTCCACATGTTGACGGTTGACTATTTAATAACCGTCTAAATTGCAGTGGCCTTTTGATCTTTAGGTGTCATTGTGAATTTACACTGAGCTGGTGGAGTGTTTTCTCTAATCTTTCTTGTTATTTTCAGTGACTTTTTGTCTGAAAATCTTATGACGTCAAGTTCTCAGAGTACTTGAGCAATAGGGGCAGACAGACCTTTCAACCACAACCACATCACCCCGCTTCTCCTCCAGCTTCATTGGCTGCCAGTCAACTTCAGGGTTCATTTCAAGATCCTGGTTAGGGCTTTACATGGACAAGCACCATCTTACATTGGTGATCTTCTTAGTCCCTACACCCCCAGCAGGTCCCTGAGGTCCAGTGATCAAAGCCTACTGGTTGTGCAGCACCAGGCTAAAGACCCAAGGTGACAGATCATTTGCTGCTGTGGCCCCCAGACTCTGGAACTCTCTCCCCCTGAGCCTGAGATCAGTGGACTCAGTAGTCTCCTTTAAAAAGCAGCTTTTGTATGACCTTCTTCACCACTCTCTCTTTATTCTGCTCTCCCCACCTATTCCACCTTCTTCAGGATCCACTGATTTCCCTCTTTCCTATTCACTCTCTCTCTTTCTTTACATTTTGTAATCACAATAGTCTATTTTTTGCTCATTTGATATATATTTTTAACCATTTTCTAAATTATTTTGTATATTTTTACATTTTTTGTTTTTGTGAAGCGCCTCGTGATTTTTATCTTGAGAGGCGCAATAGAAAATATATTTTCTTCTTCTTCAAACTTAGAAATGATTTTAAACTCATATTCATGGCCTCATTTGCTATAAATTTGTGTTTGAACAGGAATCCTAGGCTAAGATAAATCATTTATCATTTACAGTAATTTTACACATTATCCAGTCATGTGATAAAACAAAATGTTCAATCAATTCAAAGATGTATTGTGAAAATAAAAAAAATACATGATTCACTTTACATAGAGTATTTGCATGTGTTTATAAAATATATTAGTTTGTGTTGGTTTGCAGGGAAGAGGTGTACATCAGTCAATTAGAAAATTACCGTTCATGCATGTAAATATCACCAAAGATGTTGTGGGGGTTTGGATGGAGGGACGTTGGAGGGACTTTGAGTCTTCGCTGGAGCTGCCAGTTTTCCAGGTTTGCCTCTCTGCCAGGTGTTTGACATTGACTTGGAGCTGGAGATGAAACTAGCTAATGGCAACCTATGGAAATGACTGACTCCTGGGAGCCGCAGATTCATGCAGTGAAAGTTTCCATTTTAAAAGCCCATCAGTTGCGCTGGGAGGACTTCTGACTGGCCCATATGCCAGCAGTGACGGTGCTTGTACTGCTACAGCTGTCAAACAAACAAATACAAAGTCTCAGAGTGGCCGTTTGCTTTCCCAACAAGTTGAACCCATGAATGTGATTGTTGTTAGCAACTGGATCTAAACTCAATTATAATAATGTCTCTGTAGATTTGTTATCCTTAGATTGTTTTAATAGTGTTTCCACCTTTTCATGGCCTCTGACCACAGAAGCTGTAAATATTTTTCTACATTTTTTTCTAGAGAAACAGATAACCAAACAGGTCACTTATGAATGACTGCTAGATTAAAAACAAACAACAAATATTTTTCATCCCTCATACTTTACATCCTCCCTCTTCCTTTCACCCCCACATCATCATGGTAGGAATCTTTGTCAGAGTTGTTCATCTGGAACAACTTTGCCACACTTGTTTTCATGTTCTTTTAGATTACAGGGCAGCTGGCCCCAGCTTTGAAGCTTCTCTCTCCCTTTGTCTATGTGCAAGGCACTCTGGTAATTAACTTTGTCCTTCTTTTATTTGTTCCAGTCACTCGCAGTCCACTCTTCTGAGCATCTTCTCCCTGGAGTACCAGGTTAGAAGTTTTCTTCCTTTGTGAGCCCTGACAGGTGCCTAATTGAATGATGAATGTCCCTTTATTTCTTTGTAATTGAACTGCCAGCTTTCTGATTGGTTTGGAGGATCCCCCCCTCCCCATCCATGCTCTCGTTTATTTCCCCCCCCCCCCCCCCCCCCCATACACACACAGGCTCAGACACAGACACCTCCATCTTCTCCTCCTTCACGTTGAAGTCCTTTTCTTGCCGAGCCTCGGTGGATGTCTGCCAAACCTTCCCATCCATCTGTCTAATAACATCTAGCCCCTGCTTATTTGGTGGACCTGTAATAAATTATGCTAAACCATTATTATTCTGACAATAATAATTTCCCCGTGTAGTGCGGCTGTGTGTGCTAAATGTTTGCTGACTTGCACTGTCACTGCTGCTTTCCACGGCTGACAGCGGATGATGATAAATGGCCACTGCCGCCAGTGGCAGAAGGCAGCACAGGCAGAAAATGGAGTCATTTATCATCCCACTGACAGGTGTCAGTCACACTGCCCGTCTCTGTGGAATTACAATTTTTGTGTGTAGTAGCTTTTAAATACGTTGTTTTTAACCAATGCTCTTCCTCCTCTTATCCCGTGTCCTCCGGCCTCTCGGCAAGAACAGCAATTCAATTGCATGAAAATGTCAGGGTGGGGTACGTGTAATAATGTCAACGTTTGATCGGAAAATGGCAAAATGAATACAAGGTTTGAGCAAGCGGCGGAAGAGGGGGTTTAAACAAGGTTGTCTTGTCACACTTTGACCCCTAGGAAAGTTATAGAAATTGAATTACTTTGATTTCTAAATTTCCTTCTTGTTCACATAGAAAAAAGGGTGGAAGAAGAACGACATTATATTTTACAACAAAGTGGAGGTCTTTGATGTCAGCTTTTTCACCGATATCCAATGTGCTGATACCTTTATTTCCGATGCTGCTAGAAACCGATACTAATGTATTCGGGGACCCTACTAATAAAAGCAAGAGAACTAAGTCAGGCGAGATAACTAACATCACATATCTCCTACCACACGTATTTAAACTTAAAACCGTATCTGTGCAAAATACGATCAGTACTTTTAATTAGGCCAGTTGTGCCAAACAAAGACATCCTAAAACTATACATTGTATCTGTTGTGTTTTGACATTTTGAGGGAGAGGAGAAGTAGCTGAAGAGTTTGATGTATGTTACGTGCATGGTATGTAAAGGTTGAAGCTAGAAGAAAGGTTGCGTTATCTAGAGTGAACACCTATGTCAGTAATTGCATACATTACATTTTAATAGCAATATCAGCCGATAACAACGATGGGGCATAAATGGCGGACATTTGCCAAAGGGCTGAGCAATATGGCCTTAAATAAACATCATGATACATTCAGCAGTTCGCCTCGATAACGATAAATGGACGATATCTTCAGTACAGCGGCTGTTTGCAGAAGTGACAATGGTAGATTTGGTTGAGGAGAAGCCTGTTCCCACAAAAATCCTTCAACAACTGTTTGGCAACATTTTGGATTTGGACACTGCTGTCAGCTTCCACCGGCCGTCATCCGCTGCCCCCGCCCACTACTTAAACATTTTAATAGTCTTTGTTTGCTCACTATCTTTCCCTTCTTGTTACAGACCGGTTTGGGAAGAGTCACATGACTATACAAAGTCAAGTGACTTTACCCCATCTTGTTTGTAACCCAGTATGTTAAAGGAACATGAACATCGGCAATCTTCACACATCTTTTAATTTTTTTGTTTTTCAAATTGTATTGATATGGGCAAAATTACGTTGATGATGGACATCCATTTCAGTATCAGTACATTTCCGGCACATCATCCTCCTCTAATCCTTAATGAACACGATTTCAATGCTGCACTATCTTTGACAGTGCAGTTACTAATCTTTTCTTCTTATTGGCACAGAAACGCATCAAAAGAACCATTTCAATGCATCGTTCTCCTGCTGATGTTGAAAGATACTTCCAAAGGTACACTACTGCTTTACAAATATGTTTCAGTGCTTCTTTAATTTCTGTACAGCCCTTTTCTCTATTTTTATTGCTTCCAGCTCTAGTAGTTGTAATTTCTTCTTTGATCTTGCCCATTCACTGACCAAGGAAGGGACTTACCAAAGTTACGTGGGCCACCAGGACAGTTATAATCTCCTTCAAACAAATCGCCATCCACAAGATTTGTTCCAGACCTCCGCTTGCACCTGCTAAGCCACACAGCTCTGCTCAAATTAGGAACAGAAAAAATAAATTAAACATTTGCCTCATACTGGCTTATGATGAGATGATTATGTGTAATTCAATGAATATGGTTGAATAAAAAAAAAGAAAAGTGAGAGAAGCAAGGCTTCAAGGGGAAAAAGCCTCTTTGCATATTGCAATTAGCCTTTATCTAGCTTATTAGGCTATTGTTCTGGGGAAAATAAGCCTGGATAATGCACTTCTAATCCACTTACAACAGCAAACCTCTGAGATGATCTTGGCGAGATCTAAGGGGAGCAGCGGTTTTAGCTGGAGAGGGAAAAAAGGCTTTTTTGGGCGGCAGGGGTTAACTAACTATCATATGCTTGTCTGGCTTCAAGGAAATTTGAAGCCCTCCAAGCAGTGCTGTTTTAACCGCACTGAGCCTGCCATATGCCACCCAGGGCAAAGTCATCAGGGACATTAGCATGTCTTGGCTGGCCTGGTCTAGCCCCCTCTAGCCTTCTGTCTGTCTACTAGCTGCTTTTTTTTTAAAACTGCTGCTGTTTTCCTTTGTTATAATGAAGGTATCTGAGTGAAGCCGAGGCTCGTCCTACAGCTCCTGTCCTGCTAGAGTTGGCCAATGAGGTAACAGCTTTATTTCTCTATGTCCTTTATTGATTTATTTATTTAAATTTTTTTTTACCTCCCCAACTTTCAATACAAAAATATCTGTTCATACTTGGACTCTAAACGGATAAAGATGACTTTGCTTCAGATTTAGATTTTCTCCCCTGTCTGTTAGCCATTATCAAAATTGGTAAAATGGTGTGCTCTATTACCAATTATCTAATGTAATTAGCTCCAAGCACCATTAAGCAGATGTGCAAATACTTTTTCTGTTTTATTTTGTAATTTTCCAAATTGCAGTTCAGGCAGAGTTGGCTCTAACCACGGGCAGGTGAGGACGGGGGGAGGGGTCAACAGTTAATTCCTCTCTTTATCACTTCTTCGGTTATTTACTTTAGGACGTCAGACTAGTATTTGTTATCTGGGTAATATACTAGTAGAATTCTTAATTTGTTGTGTTTGTTTAATTGAAGATGAGTATTCTTAGTGGTATATTCCCTGAATGAAAATGATCAACAATTCCTACAAATTGAACAATTTCTTGATATAGTTCAAACAATTAGACTTTTACTTATTATTATATTAGACTATTTCTTGATTTATAAAGCAACATATAGAAGTACTTATTTGTCTATTAATAAACAATTTTCAGTTCTAGAAATACACTGTGTAACCAATTTAATCATTTAAATGCATCATTTAGTGTTATAACGGCTTACAGTCGGAGCTTTTTTTACTTTTAAATCAGTACTTCACATGCATCAGTGATAACCTCAAAGCTAACTGCTATTATTCATTCTCTATTTAATTGAAATATTATTTTTTCCCCCTGAAAGCACAGAGATAACGGTCTATGAACCATTTAACTGTCATTTTAATATGCTACTTAACATTTAAACCAAGCACTCAGGCCCTCTCAGACTGCTAATTGATGTAGTTCCGTGTCTTTATGAGGCAATATATCTCCAATAGAGGAAAAAGATTAACAGTGATGAAAGCTGTTCGTAGATATTTTTTTGCTCTCAAACGAAGTCCATGAATTCTTAAAAAAAAAAATCCCTCTTTTCGTGCTTTATGAGGGTTTTTATGCAAAAGGTTACCTATAAGGCTTTAGAACAGGTGCAATTATGCTGCACTGCATGTGACAGCCATTAGCTTTTCAGGTGAATACAACCAGGATGTTATTTAACAATGATTATTTTCAGCAGGATTTCAAGGCTTTGTGAATCTTAGTCACGTTCTTAACTCAAAAAGTGCTGCTGACTGAGTGTGAGAGTGGGCACGGACTCGTGATTAATATGAAAATTAAGAAGATGCAAGTAGCTGAACTAATCAGATGGCATTTATTCAGGCTGAGCCTGCATTAGTAATGCAGCCATTTTTCATATGTCAGTTTCCAAGAATCTGATACTCTTCTTGTTATCTAATGGAGTGAATGGAGAACAGGCCAATAGGCGCGGATGGGAACGACAAAGAGATGGAAGAGGGAAAACTGGTCTAACTTGAGATAATAGAAATCTGTGGCAAAAAGCAAACCAGTTATGTTGAGACCTCAATAAAGACAAATTCATGCTTTAATTATCAAAGACATGCAGGGGCTTTCTAAATAAAATATTGAAGTATTATGGAAATGTTAACAAATACAATGCTTGGTTAAAATAATAGATGTTATTGAGACGGAGCTATCCCTGCCCCCAGTGTGATCATAATGCATCAGAGAATAGATGAAACACTCCATTCACTCTGCAGGCTGAGGGCAAATACACATTTGGTCCCCCAATTATGCTAACAAGAGGGAAAATATTCCGTGGCTGTAGGAATGTTGTTTTATAATAAGCTGGTCTTCCATCAATGTTTTCATTCCCTCTATCTTGGGGAGGTTGTGAAATGCGTCTTCAGATTAGCATATGCTGTATACCGTCTGAAGGTCAAGAGTAGTACTTAAAACAGAATAACGATATCATATACACTAATTTCCTAAACGTTTAATGTCTGATGTTCAGTTGTTGAGTCCAGTTACAAGATTGATTTAGAAGAGAGAAAACGTGCTGGACACTCGCAGCATCAATCACTACTCCGCTCTGACTTGTCAGAGCTTCTTGTTTCACTCAAACCTAAGACTCATGTTTTTTCCAGGTGTCTGTGCTCAAAGAGTGCTGCAGCCATAGGTTTTATCCTTCCTATTAGGGATTACATTCCCACAGTCCCTCAGGTGTGTCCTATTGGTTGCTGCTGTTTTGCCTTGGTGATCCTTCTATGATTAAAGCTCTCTATTGCCTCTCGCCCGAGCTCGGTGTAGGCTGTTATTTATTTATTTTTTTACAAGATGAGAGACTGTCTCTTTGACTGAATCCAAGGCAATTCAGCCAGGTAACTCGGCTGTGTAAGAGGCGATGTCTCGTTCCTGTGGGAAAGGTTATTGCAAAAGTGAGGCTTACAAAGACCAATTTACAATGCAGTTGTCAAAAGCTGGGTCAAGGTTTGAGACTGCAATAATACAATTTAAGGCCATTAAGATGATTATTATCTATGACATCAGTGAAACACAAACTGGTGGGGTAATTTTGGTGCATAAACGCTTGAAATCCTGCTACACTTCCATGTGGAATTTAGTTTGAAGGTTTGTAAATAAAGGACCCCCTCCCAGAGGAATACTGATCCAACTGTAGCTGGCATTTAAAGCAGCAGTCATTTATTTTTGACTCAACATCGTGTTTTAATTTGAACAAGTACTTTTTTTGTTGTTGTCAATTCCACGTACAGATGGATCTGTCTCCTGCTCTGATGGCTCGTATTATCTTGGACAGGTTCCTTCAGGACGTGGACGGTGGAATCCGTGAGTAACACTTTTCTATTTGTCTCTCCACATCGGTTTTAATTGTAGCACTTTACTGAATCACTCCCTGTCTCAGTCCAGATCTCTGTCTGTCTGCACTACTTTCAGCCTGTCCAACCCTAATGACGGACAGACAGCATTTAGTAGTAGCTCCATCACGGAGCACATGATTGGCAATTAAGTCGTGGGAGGACCACCCACCTCTCAGCTGCAGCGTGGATCAATGCTAGCTTGGCTCATCGGTATTATTTATAACACCCTCCTTAATCCCCCAACACATTCATTTATTCCTCACATTCTCTTCTAGCTTCAATTTTTTTTTCTTCCTGTGGACCTACTGGGTCTGCATAGGAAATCGTTTAGAAGAAAACTGTGACAGAAAAAGCAAACTGTTCCTAGGTAGTGCTGACGGAGCTCTGCGGGAAAACAGAATTCCAGACGCAAATATTTTTGTTGAATGTGTCAAGGAGATTTTCCAGAAATTGCGTGACATAACGATCGTGTGCTCTCTGCTTTTCTAACCAGAGGTGTTATTCCAGCTTTTAAGATTTCTTCTGTATGTGATATTCTTTGCATTAATGAGAAAACCTCTTGGAATTCCAGTTTCACACCGGGACACAGTTTTAATACATTTATCTTGAGGACCATGCAGCTGTGTGGTAGTCGGTAGTTTAAGAGCAAATCGCAAGATGTCAAAAAAGACGTGATTCCAATTTCATCAAGAAAAGGATTAAAGTGGATGTGTGTTATTTTCAACTTCTCCACAGCACACCATTTGTCAAAGTCAACGATGTGATTGCTTTGGACCCACTGTTATCCACTGCCTGTCAAAGTCCCAGTCTGAACGTAGTGTAGAACGTGGCGTTCATCTGGGAGGGATCCTTCTGTCTCACATAATATCATGCTGCATCTGTCCATCTCCATATAGTGAGAGAACACACTTTATTATTACTCCAAATACATATGATGCACACAAAACTTCCTAGAGGGACTTTGTTTAGTTCCTAATGTACATGATTGCAGCCATCTACATCGTCTGTGGCAATGAAAAGCATCACAAAAATACATCGTTTAAGATTTTAATCACTCCGGGATGCTCATTACCTATTCCGAGAAATTTAATGTAACACTGAGCAGTTTCCTGCTCCCCGCCCTACTGGTTGAAAGTGGGATTACAACAGTCATGAACAACCCTGCAGCAGCCTGATGTAGCTTGCACTAACAATGAGCTGTCATTAACATGAGCCAACTAATACTAAAATAAACCACGAAGTGAAAAGATCCACACAGTTGGGCAAAAAATATTATTACTTACAAGCCCAGTAGCAACACAGCTAGGTCACAATCAATCCGTGATTTTGTAGCCTCCTTTATCCCCCACAAACTAGCGTAGGCCATGCCGTTGTTTGCTTTGATTTAAGCTCTTTGCTTTGCCTCCAAAGACATTACTCTTTATTTCCCGGCTCCGCCATGATACCAACAGAAAAAGCAAACATTTTTTTATTCTTCTTGTGCTTTTTATTAGCGATCGGCGTACTGAAAACACTAACGGATAGCAATTGTAGCTAACAGCCCCCTAGAACACCTTCCTTCTCGACAAAACTGTTAAGTGCAGTATCTGGCCAGCAGAGTGCTGCAGAGCAGTGTCAAGTATAAAACTGGTCAAGTTTATAACCCAACAATCACTGAGATCATTTTTAAAGCTCTAGCTTAAAGTTTAAAGAAAATCTAATGTTCCTTTAATGCTTTACTTTGATTTTTGGCTGCTTTCTGTTTGAATTTAAATCATTTCTAAATGATTTTGTCTTTCTGTTGTAACTTTTCTACCATTCCAGCCAGTGAAATCAGCAGCTGTGAGGGTGACTTGTGTGTTGACAGAGCGTCAGTGCAAACTCCCCCTGACCTGCTTGGCCTTTACACATGGATTCCTTCCCACTTGAGCTGCGGTCAAATGGACGAATCTCCCTCTGTGTATATTAAGCCCCAGTCATGTGTTTCCACCAAGAAACAATGCAAGGATAATTGTCTTTGCTGGTAATTAGCTAACAGGTTGGTTCACTGCTATCGGCAGGCATATCTGTCGTGGCCCCATCCAACCTCACACTGCATTCCGGTGTGTGTGTGTGTGTGTGTGATTCAATAGAACTCTTGAGGGAGGTTAGGCAGGCACACTGCAAAGATCAATAGACTTCTATATAAGGGACATTACCCCCAACTGGGTGAGTGGCTTGCCTTTGCCTAGCACCGTTGTTGTTTTTATTCCCCTACTCTTTTCTCTTGCATTTAAGAGAAACCGAAATGGGGCCTCTGGGACGATAGAATATATGTACAATCACCAGCCCTGGATCAATAGATGGTTTTAAATTGTTTTTTTGTACCGTCCTTGTTTTGTTTTGCGCTCTCGCATTTGCTCCCTCCCTCCCCTCCCACACATGCTGCCACCACACCTCGGTATGACGACGCCACCAACAATCCCCTTTTCTCCGTGCAGCACAAGGATTGGAGGCAGCCTCCATCAAGCAGGATGGACGACTATCTGGTGGCGCTTGAGAATGAATCGATATATTCAAAACAGCCCTATTGATTATAATATCAGCATCCATAATGTTTTAGCCTCATGAAAATAAACTGGACGCTGGCGTAGGAGATGCCGTGTAAGAGAATGTCTTCTTGGGTTAGCATTTGTTTTTGCATGAAAGTGAATCCATGATTGTTTTAGTAAATTATGGGCTTTGTGATGGTGCTAAAATGTCAAATTCAAGTCTTTTTTTTTTCTTCCAAAAATCATTCTTCTATGCATTTCACAATTTTTTTATATGAATCTTTTTCACTTTTACTGCTATTTGTTTTCATTATACAATTTTGTGAATCCATATAAACTTCTAGGACTGTTTAATTTATTTTTTATTTATAAATTTTGAAATTGTCCTAATTGAAGTAGCCTTTTTAAAAGAATTATTTTAAGTAATTTTACATGGTGACCTAAAAATGTTAAATTATTAAAGATTATGCCTTTTATCCATTTATCTCTGCTGCTTTAATCTTTCACATGATGCAAATACTCCATGAATTGTTGTTTATTATTAATATTATTGTTACTATTATTATTATTATTAGTAGTAGTAGTAGTAGTGTAATTCAGCGTCTGTATCAACACCCTTTTTGAAGTCACCAACAGACACACTGGGGGAGCTCCTGCTCTTTCCCCCCCTCTTCCTATCTCTTCATCTTTCTTTCTATTCCTCCTTTGACAGCAGTTGATGTGCCTCTAGATTTAGACGTACTTTTTTTTTGAGGAGGCAATTTTGCTAGCTATTTGACCTTTTCCATTTTCCCAAGGCCCAGCTCCGGATTAGATTGCTACTCCATGTTTTGTAACTATGTGATTCGGCCGCCTTTAAGATTTATTGTCACATTCCTTTACAGAAGCCTTGTACGCAAGGTTATAAATGTCCCTTGTTTGATGTTAACACTGTGAGAACATTAGTGTCTACCATGATCCTTTGCCTCGTTGACAGAATTCAGAATAATTTCAAATGTTTTGCTGATAAAACGGGTTGATAATTGAAAATTATGCTTAGGTTTAGCCAGGAAAATCCCTTATTAGTGACTGCAGTTGTTATTGTTTAAGTGCTCCACTTTTCTCTCCAACATCTCTTGGCCATGGAGCTGGTGCTTGTGTATATGCAGCCTTTTTTCACGTAATGAGAGCAAGGGCTCTTTATTAGTAAGAATTGAGGGAGTTAGGAAGCAGAAGACACAAATGTTGTTGTGTGTGTGTGCGGGTGGGTGGGGGTATGTGAGGGAGGTAAGCAGCACTGTGGCACTTCACTTGACAAGTATACTAATTACTCCTTTTCAGCATAGGAGCTCCAGTCAGCCTTTGCCACACTCTAATGGCCTGACCTGAGAAGCCTCTTTCCGTGGCAGAGCCTCCCTAGGTCTACTATTACTACAGCTACACACACACGCACACACACACACACACAGTGAAATGTAGAGTTTCATCTCACCGCTATCAAGAAGAATCAGGTGGAAGCAGATCAGTTCTGCCCCAGTAACCTCTTCAGGGACTGGGCTCCTCCTTCACACACAATACTACCTCATATCAACCAACACCCACACACACCACTACAGATAGTTAAAAAAAATGTTTTTTTTTCTTCCCGCTTCTCCTCATGTCCTACTCTCTTCCTCTTTCCAGTCTTTTTTTTTTCTTCGTTTTTTTTTCAATGCGGGAGGATAAATTTAAAAGGAGTAAATTGGAAAATCAAATGAGGGCTTTAGGCAGCCGCAGAGATTTGCAGAGCTGTCGGCCAGTGTTGGAGAGGCTCATCCATCATGTCCCACAAGTAGTCAATTCCTCTAGTATCTGTAAATGTTTTCAGATATTAGCCAATTTATATGCTCCGAGATTCATCATGGAAAATCAGCTTTACCGGCGCACATTATCAGAACCTGTCTCTCCCAAGCTCCATGAAGTTTGATGAACGAGTGCCCCTCCACAGCTCAATGGCTTGTGCATGGGGAGTGCAAGGCGGGGGGGGCCTGGGCATATAAAGGAAATTGGTAACAGCATCCCCCCTCCACCACCACTGTGAAAAGAAGTGGGCTTTTTAATTAATAAACAAACTTCCAGAGGAGCTCATCAGTGTCAAGAGCAATAACAATTGTCATCTGTTATGGTTTATCACGGTCCCTCCTCTACAAATGTTGCTTTTTTAATGAGATTTCTCTATGTTTTTTTTTCCTTTTGCATTTCAGATAATGACTTTTTTCCTCCACAGAAGAAAAGATTAGTTACAAATAGCACAAGTAAGAAATGAGAACTCAAGCCCAGGTTGGGTTTTCTGTGCATCTTGTTTTGGAGTCGTATATGAAAACAAGCTTGTGATTTGTTTACACTGGTTGTTTTCTTTAGCAAATCCCAATGGAGGCGTAGCGTTTCACATCTATTATTCTCCTCTTCTCTGTTCTTTCGGTTCAGATGTTGACAGTGTGATACGGTGCCTTAGTAAGAATTTATACCAACATGGGACAATTACAGTAAATTTGGTGAATGTTTACAAGGTGCAAAGTTGTGCTGCAGGGCTTTGTTCTCTGTGTCTGGTGTTCTTCAGATTATCCTTTTTATTTTCCCGCACCTTTTTTTTTATGTGTGCGACTGCATTTGAAAAGAGGTGTGTGTGTCCGTGTGTGTGTGTGTGTGTGCAGCAGAGAGAAGCTCAGGGTGTCATGGAGGTGTGCTGCTGTGCAAGGCGGGGGCGTCTTTAATAAATGTATGCTGATGTTGGAGGCTGCAACGATGCGAAGGATGCAAGGGCCTGTTGTTATTTACTGCTGTGTTTGTGCACAGCAGCGAATCCTGGGCCTGCAAATGGCATTACAGCATGTGATGAATGAGCATTAGGGTAAACTCATTTTAAAAGCATCCTGATTTATTAGCAGCCTGGCCTTCCATTTTCATCAGGTCAATGCTTGGCTGAAATTCTCCAATGTCAGCGCCAAGGTCACCTATTTATGGCTATTTTTAACCCTCATCTCTCAAAAAGAGCAGGCGAACGCTGTCCTATCACTTATTATGGCCATCAACCAAAACATATCAAAGGGCTTTAGATACCGTGTAGATACAAGTCTAGCCCAAGAAGTGTGTTATGTGAGAGACCAAAATGTGGTGGTGGTCAACCTCCAATTATGAGTGCTAGTAAGACAAGAGCTTTAATGGCTAACGTTTGCCTTCAGGGAGGTTTATTACATGCTACTGTTTTGCAGAAGCAGCGTCAAATCTATAAAACGACCATTAGGAAGAGAGGAAAAAATCTATCAAAATGCCATTAAAGTGGAATAAGTTGCCAATATTGCTGATGTGGTTGCAGGTCCTTTGATTTTCCTTCAGATTATTAGGCACAGTCGAGTAGTGACTTTGTTAAGGGAAACCAGTGTTGTTGGGGAGTAATATGTCTCCTAGCTTCATAAAGTTTGCTGCCTCATATTTCCCGCTTTATTGATTATCCATTATCATTTGTCAAGAGGTGTCCTAACTCAAGGGGAAAATATAACCCTCTTTCTTCGCCCGCCGCCTGCACTGCACAGGAGCACGGTATGGATCTGAGTTGTGAAGGTACCAATCTCTGAGAAAAATGAGCAGTGAAATAAAGCACAGCCCTGTGCCTTGCAGCTCTAAGAGAGTGTGGGGTTATGGGGTGGGCTGGTGGAGCATCGTGGCTAGAAGAGATTGAGGTTGCAAAGAGAAAAAAAGAGACAAATTCAAAGAAACAGAAGAGAAAGAGACGTTCTTACTGGCCTTTGTTCCCCTTCAACTCTTTTTTTTAATTAATCATAAAGCAGATGAAGGATCACAGTGTTCTCTTTGGTCAATTTTTTCAACAAGTAATGGTAATCGACGGGGATGTGTATTTTTGAAATTCTGGCGATACGATCACGATACAGGGGAGACGATACGATGTATCACGATATATTGTGATACGTTCAGTCAGACGTCACAAGCAATTTTTTTTTACTGAATTTATTGTAAGAATGTTCAATAAACAGTCCAAACTGATACGTAACATGTTAATATGAGGTATCTGAACCATAATGGAGGGTTTTACATTTCAATGGTGGAAACAAAACCCATTGCACACTGCTGCCAACTAGCGGGTGGCGATTGAATTGCACAAAACGAAAAGAAAATACACAAATGTTTGCATGTATGTCAAGAATTAGATACACGGCTTTTGAATATCGATGTAATAATCGCAGGGAAAAAAATCACGATATATTGCCATATCGATATTTCCGATACACAGCTTTTGAATATCGATATAATATTGCTGGAAAAAATATCACGATATATTGCCATATCGATATTTTCTTACATCCCTAGTAATCGAGAAGGACAGGAGATGGTCTTTTTTTGTTTTTGGCATTTAATTAATACAAACATAATTTCTACCATTTTAGGGATTTAAAGCTTTTTCTTCTAACTTAAATGCTCATAAATCTTCCTTCCACTTGTCTTAAATACTTCAATGCTATCTGCATTTACCCAACAGAAATCAAGACTTTATTTGATGTTTGTACAGCCACCACCCATGCTTGAAATGTGTATAGAAACCATTCCCTACTGTCTGCTATGCTGCACGTCTGTCACAAGCGTCCGTGTATATATCACCACAATGGCACGTCTCAGCCATTTCGTCACACAGTGATACAATCCATTTAATCCAAATCTTTTTAAGAAATGAGTTAAGAATTTTTTTTTTGCTGTTGCAGTAACGGTTAGTCAATTCACCGGGCTTTCCTATTTGATTTATAATGTTAGCAGAGCAAGAATGGGATGAAAGATGCAGAATAGTCGACGTTTATAACGTAGATAAACTACAGGAAGTGCCTGTTCTGTGGACTGAAACATTTATTTATAGAAAATCTGTATATATGTTCTGTGATAGACAGCTGTAGAAATACCACTGTTGCTCTATGGTTAAAAATGTCATAATTGAGCTGCTTGCAAGTCTAAATTATTTTATTTCAGACACTTTTTTTTAAACAATGAGATATTCCTATGCAATTTACGAGGGTGAATATGGATGTTTTCATATAGTTTCCATTGTTGTAGAATTTGTGTTTAATATTTTTCCTTTTTTGTCATTTTGGTTGTTTGTTTTTGTTTCCAGCCTCCAAAACGGTCCTCAACAGCATGCTAAAGGAGCCATCTTTAATCCCAGACCAAATACTGGCAAACAATATCTACCAAGTAAGGATTTTAGCTCTGCTCTACTCTTTTATAATGAGCTTTTAAAAGATGCACCTGCCTAACACACCTCATCAGTCGCTCTTGTTTGTTGTTAAAGATACGTTGCAGCCAGTGGTCATGCCTGCCAATCTCTTAGCCTCTCCTGTGTTTTCTGCCTTTCCAGGGCTTCCCTCCCCTCCCTTACATGCACCTTTTATTTTTTTTCGCGGTGCAATAATATTTCTTCCCTCTCTTTTCAGTGCACAATAAACGACTGCTGTTATGGACCGCTGGTAGACTGCATCAAACAGTATCCTATCCCCATAAAATTTAAAGCTCAAAATTGACGAGGCGCTATTGAAGGGGGATGAGATGTGTCGGGCTTCACCTGACATAAAAGTTCTGCTTCACGGAGGAAGTGTTTCATCCTGTCTGCCTTCCAACTATCAGCGATCCGAGGGGCTCCGAGGCAACGGAGGGAGGAGCAGGAGTAGAGGATGGGCTGATCTCCATGTGAATTCGGTGGATCGCACCCAATGTTCTGTGATACAAATATAGTCCTCTAAAATCGTTGCGGATGAACATTACTTCACATTCTTCGAGAATTCCTAATATTTTTTAAAACAGGGTTATATTTAGTTGCATCAAACTCAACTTTGGTTTTAGTTTGTCAAATTTGAATGTTAATCTTTCGTTATTCTGTGTAGATCCTTTGTGCAGCAAGTTATTTTGGGGCAGCCAGCTGGGTAGCACACCAAACATGTCCTAGGGGAGGAGACTTATTTAAATTATTGTAAATGTGTACGTATGTGTGTTATTGTCTCACTCGGCTTTTGTTGGGTGTGTTGGGGCCGTGTTGTTCTGTTCACAGCCAGTCAAGCCTGTCCCATCCTGCCTCCTTCTCCTTTCCCCCTCTTCTGTGCTCAGTGTCAACTGAAAGTCTGTTAGTCTGCTCCAGAGTTCATAATAACCGCCCCACTGTTGTCTGCTTTCAAAAAACTTTATCCACACATGAAAAGAAAACGCTCTTCATGAATGTGGGTAAATGATAATATAAATGTTTTCACGTTTTTCAGAAACTATTTCAAGCCTTTTTGTGTAAAACCATGATATCATTTTTATCTTTTACTCTCATCAGGTTATTTGTGCTGCAGCAAACATTGCTCATCTTAATTCATGATGGCATTTATTCAAAAAAGCATTGTAGTAAAAGGTTTTATTAGAAGGACCAGAGCATGCACAGCAATCACACTTTAGAAATTCTGTCAAACTGAAGTTTGTTTTGTCGTCTGCATCAGGAGGGTGCACCTTGGAGTTTTCTTGAGAGCGCAGATTTAATTCTAAAGAAACTAAATCTCTTCAGATGGTGTTTACTTTGCATTGTAAAAGAAAAGCAAATGAGATCTCAGCTTTATAGTTAAAAACGCACACGGTCAGTTTCCATTACCCTAATTCAAATGTGCTTTGAGTTTTCCATGACATTTCCATGGCTTAGCATTCGTTCAATAGCGTCAATTGGTGCTTAGCAGTGGTGAATTCTTAGGCTGGAGAAAAATTACAAAAAAAGTTTGGGCATCTTGGAAAATTCTTAAAAGTTATCCTCCTTAATTCTAAATGAGATTTTTAATTATCCAACTTTTAATGTTGTTGTGCTGAAGTAAACATGAAGTCCTGCTGCTCTTTGCTGTGAATCCTTAACTCTGTTCCCAGTGCCATTGGACAAGAACATGAAGTTCTGCTTCGTGACAAACTGAAGGAGCAAAATCTGTCTTTTCTGGGTAAGCCACTTTCTCGTCGCATTTTAACTTCAGTCATAGAATTATTGGTTTTGCTTTATAACCAAACAGTAAAACCTGGTGAATGGATGAAAAGACCACCGATTCTTGTACGTTTACATTGTCTTTATTTTGTTGAACCATAACAAAATATTATGGTCTCTTTAAGTAAAATATCACAGCATGTTTTGAAATTGTTTATCAGATGTCTCCCATCTACCTTTTCTGCAACTGTTTTGCTACTACACAGTTAGTGAAGTCATGCATGTCCCTTTTAAAAAAGAACTTTATTTTGAATTAATGCTAGTCATGACCTGTGGAAAAATGCTCCTACGCTCACGTTTCAAGGGGTAAATGTTTGTCGAAGGAGTGGGTGTGCCGAAAAAACAGGACTTTTACTACTCAGTAATATTTATGGTATGCAAATGCCTCACCTATGATTGGCTAACAGCATCATGAGTCCTCTGCTGTCTGTTAAAAAAATATTGCAGCAGTAGCTCAGGAGGCAGAGCAGGTTGTCCAGTAATCGGAGAGTTGTGGGGTCGATCCCAGGCAGAGAATTCTGCTGTTGTGTTCTTGGGCAAGACACCTACCGCATTTTCCGGAGTATAAGTCGCACCAGCCATAAATGTTTAATGAAGAAGAAAAAAACATATATAAGTTGCGCTGGACTATAAGTCACATTTTGGGGAGAAATTTTATTATTTTTCCTACAAAATCTGAGACCAAGCATTTCATATTGCAAGGCAAGTACCGGTAACAATAACAGAGTAAACAACCAGGGCGCAGCAGCACGCCACGGTCTCCAGCAGAGGATGGCGGTGTTTCAAACCCTCCCAGCAGGCGGGGAGAGCTCATTCCTGGGCCGGAGCCGCCCGGCCCGCAGCAGCTCACCACAGGCTCCAGCAGGTGATGGCGGGGCAGAGGAGCTGAAACCTGGACTGGAGCCAGCCCGCAGCAGCGCGCCACTGTCTCCAGCAGGTGATGGCAGGGCAGTGGAGCTTATTCCTGGTCCGGAGTCGGTCCGCAGCAGCGGAGTATACATAATTTGGTATATAAGTCGCTCCAGAGTATAAGTCGCAGGACCAGCCAAACTATGAAAAAAAGTACGACTTATAGTCCGGAAAATATGGTAATTAATATTGTTTGCTGGTGGTGGTCAGAGGGACTCGTGCTTGTCTTGGGCAGCCTTGCCTCAGTGCACCCCAGGGCACCTGTGGCTACATTGTAGCTCATCACCACCAGGCTGTGAATGTATGCAGATGGATGAGTGATTGTGTTGTAAAGTTCATTGCGGGGACTCTAGAGTGCACTATATCAAATACAGGCCATTTACCATTAAATTGGAAAACATATGTTTGTGTGTAAATAAATAATACTAGATTCATGTGTCACCCCCACATATAACACACCAGTTGCTAATAGTTAGCTTTTACTAGTCGAGACTCACTTTACTTTCTCCTGACCACAAAACTGGTACAGCCTTCCACAGCTGCTAGCCAAGGTGGTCGAACTTCTGATTACTGATATTCCATGTTACATATAGAAGAGACTGGCTCTCTCTGACACAACTCGTTTTCTGATCTATTTCCTGTATGTGGCTAATGCAGGTGATTGGTGTTGAAAAACGTTTTCATGTTCTGCCTGCATGTGCAACTCATATTTCAGAAAGAATAGGTATTACACATCTTCTCGGAGAACAAGATATTTAAACACAACTTCTGCCTTTGCAAGTGAAACACGGTCAGTTCTGTTAGCTTTAAGTTTAATTTAGTTTTGCATATATATATATATATATATATATATATATATATATATATATATATATATATATATATATATATATATATATATATACTGTATATATATACTGTATATATATATATATACTGTATATATATACAGGGAGTGCAGAATTATTAGGCAAATGAGTATTTTGTCCACATCATCCTCTTCATGCATGTTGTCTTACTCCAAGCTGTATAGGCTCAAAAGCCTACTACCAGTTAAGCATATTAGGTGATGTGCATCTCTGTAATGACAAGGGGTGTGGTCTAATGACATCAACACCACACCCTATATCAGGTGTGCATAATTACTAGGCAACTTCCTTTCCTTTGGCAAAATGGGTCAAAAGAAGGACTTGACAGGCTCAGAAAAGTCAAAAATAGTGAGATATCTTGCAGAGGGATGCAGCAGTCTTAAAAATGCAAAGCTTCTGAAGCGTGATCATTGAACAATCAAGCGTTTCATTTAAAATAGTCAACAGGGTTACAAGAAGCGTGTGGAGAAACCAAGGTGCAAAATAACTGCCCATGAACTGAGAAAAGTCAAGCGTGCAGCTGCCAAGATGCCACTTCCAATCCAATCCAATCCAATTTTATTTATAAAGCGCATTCACAAGGCATTACAACCAAACAAGGCGCTGTACACTAAAAATGTTAGTTAATTAAACCGGCGTTATACAAACATGTCGAACACAGATAAAAGATAAAAAGAAAATACAACAAAATTCCCAAAAATAACAGCTAAAAATCAATAAGACACAGGGAGAATAAAAAATTAGAAAAACATTTTAAAAAAATAACCTCAATAGTACGGAAGTTGATTGTGAAGTCCATTTTTAAACAGTGCAGATGTAAGTGAGGTTCACTTGCCACCAGTTTGGCCATATTTCAGAGCTGCAACATCACTGGAGTGCCCAAAAGCACAAGGTGTGCAATACTCAGAGACATGGCCAAAGTAAGAAAGGCTGAAAGACGGCCACCACTGAACAAGACACACAAGCTGAAACGTCAAGACTGGGCCAAGAAATTTCTCAAGACTGATTTTTCTAAGGTTTTATGGACTGATGAAATGAGAGTGAGTCTTGATGGGCCAGATGGATGGGCCAGATGGCTGGATTGGTAAAGGGCAGAGAGCTCCAGTCCGACTCAGACGCCAGCAAGGTGGAGGTGGAGTACTAGTTTGGGCTGGTATCATCAAAGATGAGCTTGTGGGGCCTTTTCGGGTTGAGGATGGAGTCAAGCTCAACTCCCAGTCCTACTGCCAGTTTCTGGAAGACACCTTCTTCAAGCAGTGGTGCAGGAAGAAGTCTGCATCCTTCAAGAAAAACATGATTTTCATGCAGGACAATGCTCCATCACACGTGTCCAAGTACTCCACAGCGTGGCTGGCAAGAACGGGTGTAAAAGAAGAAAAACTAATGACATGGCCTCCTTGTTCACCTGATCTGATCCCCATTGAGAACCTGTGGTCCATCATCAAATGTGAGATTTACAAGGAGGGAAAACAGTACACCTCTCTGAACAGTGTCTGGGAGGCTGTGGTTGCTGCTGCATGCAATGTTGATGGTGAACAGATCAAAACACTGACAGAATCCATGGATGGCAGCCTTTTGAGTGTCCTTGCAAAGAAAGGTGGCTATATTGGTCGCTGATTTGTTTTTGTATTGTTTTTGAATGTCAGAAATGTATATTTGTGAATGTGGAGATGTTGTATTGGTTTCACTGGTAAAAATAAATAATTGAAATGGGTATATATTTGTTTTTTGTTAAGCTGCCTAATAATTATGCACAGTAACGGTCACCTGCACACACAGATATCCCCCTAAAATAGCTAAAACTAAAAACAAACTAAAAACGACTTCCAAAAACATTCAGCGTTGATATTAATGAGTTGTTTGGGTTCATTAAGAACATGGTTGTTGTTCAATAATAAAATTATTCCTCAAAAATACAACTTGCCTAATAATTATGCACTCCCTGTATATAGTAATATTTTTGCCATAAATATTGGCTTGGTTAATTAATCTATTGGATTAGATAACTAGATAATTTGTTAGATGTGTTCTATCAATGTCAATGACAGTATAAAGTCCAAGTATGAATTTGTATAACGAGATTTTACCGGTTGTTTCCTCCCCTGTGACCTCATCGTATCACTATCCCCAAGGTCAGATGAATGATGAAAGATAAAAGTCATTCCCTCTGTCATTAAGACCATATCATTTATTTGGACATGGAGTGCTGACCTTTCTTTGGGGCTGTACACAAGACTGTGCCAAAACTGTCAGAGTTCGAGGGGCACGGGGGCCACTGAGGCAGCCTCACCCCATCTAATAAATGGATTGGAAATAAGCTACCTAACAGCAGGGATGGCCCATTAATTTTAATCAAAGCTGATGTTAAAAGACGATCACGGCCACAAGAGAATATAATGCGTTTGTGTGTGTGTGTGTGTGTGTTGTGTGAACATTAGCTCCCTTCCTGTAACACACACACACACATCTATACTTACATGATCACAATCAGGATGCCCCTCCATACCACAAGCCTCTGGCAGCCTCTCTGACCTTTCTCAGCTCACTTTCTTCACCCTTGGCTGATGCTGCCTCCTCACCACCACTGACACCACCACCCTCCATCTCTCTTCAATTCTCTTCCATGCCCCATTAGTTGAGCTTGGCTGGAGACAAAGAGCCAGGACCTTGGAACCGAATGACCTGGTCAGCCTGAGATTTAATGGAGAAATCAGGTGTTGGAGGGATAATGACCAAAGCACGCCAGAAGTCAAGGACAATGGCTGCAGCCTGCACCGTCAGGGGTCAGGCTAACAGAGGCAATGATGCCAAGCAGGTCCTCTTGCAGTAAATTTTCTAAAGTGTAAAGCCAAGCAGCAACCTGGAGTGAAGCACTGTAATTAAACATAAAGTTTTTGAAGACTGGTAGATGTTTTTTCTACTTGAGTACTTCCTAGAACTTTAGTGAGATTGTTTTTGACGTTAATAAAAGTCATCAATGTAAGCAAACGTTAAAATTCTGTTTTATTTCCTGTAGATGAAAACCAACTGAGAACCATGGGCTATGACAAAACTCCTGATATTATCTTGGAAGTTCCTGTTGGTAAGTTGCTTATTAAAAGTCTCACTTTTTATTAAAACACATTCTTTTAAAATAACAATATCATGTATGTTGAAATGTTATAAGGTTATATTAAATAATTACAGTTAGAAAAGTCTGTCTTCTTTTTCACTATTGTGTAAATTACCATCATTTTTTGAAGCATCGGTTTGTTTTTAATGTTAAAAAAGCCGTGGAAGGACACATCGTACATTGGATTGAGAGCAAGGCCTCCTTTGGAGACGATCACAGCCATCGGACTTACCTCAACGAGCAGTTCTGGAGCTACTGGAACAGGTCAGCCATGTCTGTTTTCAGATTTTATTTATTTTATCTCTGTTGGCCACATTTTTGCTGCCTCCATTATTTCCTCAGATTAACTTCTTCTTTCCTTTACCGCAAACCACTGTCAACTTTTCAGTATTGTAAAAGCTTTTTCATATCTCGGTCCAACAACTCTCCCCACTTCCTTTTTGGTACAGGCTGCTTTCACCACAAAATTCCACGTGGTGCGTCGGTACATTACACCACTTCCACATCCAACTCCTGTTACTGAAGGCCTTTGCAGCCTGAATGGTTTTCCTGAGAGCGTGATTGTTTGGTAAAATGTAGACATTGTGTTGGAAGGGAAGCTAGGAAGTGGGTGATTAATGCGTTGCATCTGTTGTCATGAGAACCTTTGGACAGGAACAGGCTTTTGTGGCTTAGCCGTTGTAGAACCCAAGGTGTGTGTGCGCTCACATTTCTTAATGAGTTGTAGAAATACCAACTGAACTATTTCATTGTCTCTTGAGATATTGCTTTCTTTACCTCAAGGATTGTTGAGTATATTTTTTCTGTTGTTAATTGACGATAGAAACGGTTGAACTAGTCAAAAATACTTGTGTTCAAAACCACGATAAACCTAGAAGTTGAACGTGTCAGTCAGCTTTCGTTAAAGGCCAACAAAAATATCTGTTCTAACACGGAAAACTGGCATTTACCGACTGAACAAAAATCTGTTTAACTGAACACTCAGCTGTGTATATTTTCATCTCAAACTGAGGGATTCTGAGACACTTGTTTATCAGTGCACACACAAACACACACACGTTCACAAGCTCAGGGCTGCTGGCCGTTCCCACATGTTTTTCACATCCCTGCCTCCCTCGGCGCAGAGTTCCAGTACCTCTCACTGCAGCCCTGATTCCAATCAGCTGTGATGGCCATCTGACATGTTGTGACATGGCGGTGAAGTGCCAGGAGGTGCCTTTCCTTGACGCCGTGTCCAAAAGTCAGGCAGAATCGAGCTGTCTCGTTATGCTCGCGCCTTAGTTTTCGGTGCTTTTGCAGTTCCAGATCAGGATCGCATTTCTGGCTAAATCAAAACAACAAGACCGAAAGAGGAGCTGTTTACTATGAATGAGTTTTTTGCTTCAACCCAATCAATTCAACATCAACTGGACATAAAAAGTCAGCACTTTACCCTTAAATCTCTTATATGCATAAGTGGTATGTGACATTTTTCACGATGACTCATTTTCACACTGAAAACATTCTTATAATAGGATTAGAGCCACTTTTGTTTACTTTTTGCAATTAATTAAATAAATCATCCATACAAAGATCTAGCAGATCATTTATCTGTAAAATGTATTTTTATACTTTTACTTTTTTATTTTTACAAAAATATCAAACCCCAAATAGAAAGTCCATCATAAAATCTAAATTTTGTATTATTTATGTGTTTAAAAAAACTGAGCTAAAATCAGAACTAAAGGATTTAATCGTAAGTTAATTTTTAGTGTTCATAATTTTTGTTAAAGAAAATTATTGCAAACTAAGACGATCAACTTGTTTCTCAGCATTTACTTTACTAATCATCTTGCAAAATATTTTGTTTGTTTTTATATTGAGGACGATTTCATTAGTACTTTAAAACTTGTATTAGCTTACAGTAGATCTAAATATTTCAATTTAAAGATTTCAGTGGTCAGTCAAGGTTTAGTTTGTGTCTTAAATAATTATCTGTGGGCATATTTCATTTATATTCACTTGGGCACTCTTGTCCAAGTGTATTAACTTACTGACAATGTAAATTCCATCATGTTGCTATGCTGCAAAATCAGTACAAAAAAATAAAAATAAAAAAAAACATTGTTCCTTTATTTTCCAGCAACTTTGCAGATTTTATGGAGATTTACTAGAGAAATTTTAAAGCAAATTGTCCATCTTCATTATTTAGAGTTTATACCCTCATCTGAGCTAATGTGTGAGCAGAATGCTGTGATTTAGGAATTATTACAGCATATTAGAGTCAATAAAACAAAGACAATTGACATTAGATTGTCTGATTGCTATCATTCCCTTGTCTTCAACTCTCTGTAGTCAGTTTTTGTATTAAGACTGGCCTTGAAGGGGCAGATATTTAGTAAATGTGTGTTTTCCTTCATTCCTCACAGCCTGATTTCAGTCCTTGACTTTGAACCGGTTTTCTTTTTGTGATTGCCCCTGGAACTGCACACCAGTCTTTGTAATTTCCTCATTGCTCCTGATTGACATTTCCAGTGATTTGCTTATTTTTCAAGATTTCCCTCTTTGCTTTTACTGAGCTGCTTCACCCATTGCTTGTGTTAATTGTTCTTTAGATGCCCTCAAGCATTGCTTAGTGAGGACATATTTTTGTAGCTGGAGATAAAGAAAAAAAAAAAAAAAAGAACATAACTGATTTTCCCTCCAAAGTCCTCACCAGCTGCATTTATCATCCAGGCAATAGTCTTGCCAACACACTAACCCCATAATGAACCCCTCTTCAGTGGAGTGAGGGGTAATGACGCTTCACCTACCACCCCCACCACCTCCACCCCTTTAAAAAAGAGTGAATGGAAAAATGGGGAGAAAAACAGTCTTGTGCCGACTCAGACGTCGCGTTCAGGCCCAGTGCCTGGATGAGATGGTGAAGCGGCAGCTATCGATGTCTTCCAGCCATCAATCTTAGCTGGTGGCGTTCCAGAGCCGACGAGCCCTCTGCTCTGACGGATGTTCAGATAATTGAGTGATCCATCTCTCCCAACTATCAGAGTTGCATAAAAATTGTTCACCTGCTTGTGAATATTAAACACATTATGAGCCTCTTGTGTGTTTTGGGAGGTGTGCGTAAGGTTAAACACAGCATGTAATGAAATATGTACTCCTGTGTGGTATCACCCTAACCATCCCTTGTTGATTATGGTGGACTTAAATCAATAATGGCTGGCAAACGCCCCTCCATAAGACTATGAGCAGCTGCTAAGGTTCTACTTTTGTTTGTAGTTGATTGTACACTCTGTCCAGCCCGTGTGTGTAATGCTGATTGTTTTTCTATTTGAGCAACTTTTCTAGGGTTTGGTGGAAAAAAAGGATTTGGGTTTTATTTTTGCTAAATACAAATTATGGTAAATATGAAATTGCTGTATTTAAAGAGACTATGTGTAGTTTTTACCTTTATTCTCTGGAAATATCCATCAAAATGTTGTTAAATGAATTTAATGTTGGAAAAATATTGTCTGCTTTATAATATAAAACCAATTAAATCTGGTCTAAAACACATTTTAGACTCAAGTCTAAGTCTAAGTCTCTGGGCAACACCATATTAGATGTGATGTTTTCTTCTACATGAACCCATTAGGACAAACCACATTTACTGATTTGTAACGAGCAGTTACAAACCTTTCACCATTCATAAACGTTGTGCTTTTACACATTTACCTTTTTGCTCGTTGCCATTGATGAAAGGGCTCCTGATGTGCTTGTCATCTTGCTGGAGGTTGAATGGTCTGACAAAGTAAATCTCAGATTTTTGACCCTAATGGCCATCCGTTGGTAAGGTCTTACTAGGGATGAGCGATATGGCCTAAAATCAGTATCACGATATATCAAGGATTTCACCTCGATAAGGATAGATGGACGATAACTACAGGTATGCGCAGAGACAAAAGTTGTCCACAAGATGGGGTTGTCACATGTGTCATTTTTACGTGACTCAAGGTGGTACAGCTTCTTAAAGGGACAGGCACGTTGCCAACCTACACACATCTTTTCATTTTTTTATTATCAGATTTATTGAAATGGGAAAAATTATTACTATCAGAGTCAGAAATTTCGATAACAATACATTTTCGATATATCGCTTACTCAAACACAAAAATACGACTTGCTTGCGATGATTTAGGTACGTACTGCCCCCTATCACCAGGGAAAATACACACCGTCCTTTAAAGTCTTGTTTTAGTGCTATTTCAATAGAATAGAAGACACATTCGTTGACTGTTTTAACAGTAAGTGACAATCGGGGCTGTGCAGTACTAGAAAAAAACGTGCTATTGCAATGCTATTCTTGAATAATGCTACAATTTAATTGGTTGCAATACACCCTTAATATGTCTCTTTGTGCTTTAGCTTCCCAGACACTATCATCTAACTTGGGAGTAAACTTCAACACAACAATGGTGGTCTATCTCATCATTATACAGATTGATGATAGTCTGATGGTTTGATTCATTCCAATATAAGCAGTTCTTGTACTATCAAACATTTTGTTTATGTTTATTTATTTAGCAGATGCTTTTATCCAAAGCGACTTACAATTTATAACTTATAGGGCATGTTGTGATCTGTGGGGGAAACCGGAGTACCCGGAGGAAACCCACGCATGCATGGGGAGAACACGCAACTCCATGCAGAAAGGCCGCAGCCGAGTTTCGAACCTGCCACCTTCGTGCTGCGAGGCAACAGTGCTAACCACTGCGCCACCATGCAGCCATTTTAAACTGATGCTTTCTTTGCTATCTTGCAAGTTACTGAACAATGCAATGTAAATGATTTTCTTTGTAAAAGCATATTCATATAAACATATCTGGTGAAAACCAGAGCATTTAGGCCAGATTACATTTTTAACTGACTTCAGTCACTTTTTCTGTGATGACGTGCCCCATAGATGATACTGTGATCAACATGTTTTTGTTTTGATACATCATAAAGATTGTATTATCCTTTGTGATCTAATATATCACCCACCCCTAGTGTGGACCAGACTTTGTTTAAAGATGTCATTAATCAATATTAAGACCTAATCACAAAACAAAGGAAAATATTCCTAATGTTTGGATGTCCCGTGTCATTCAGCAGGAAAAAATGGTAATTTTCCAAAGTGAAAATCAATACATTTGCTACTAATTAACTTCATATTTGTTCCCATGTTACAATTTTTATTTGTTTATTTTTTATTTTTCTAAGAAAAGGAAATTCATGAGATTATTTGTTTTACTTTATTAGATCTA